GCAGTAGTTCAGGTACGGTATGATCAGTGAGTTATATAACAAACATAGGGAATTATTATCAAGTAACCATTTTGCTCTATGTAACAGTGCAATAGTTTTAGATATTTTAGTTTTGACACTGTTTATATGTAGTTTCCAAGACATTTTTTCATCAATGATGACTCCCAGATACTTGACTTCTTTAACTCTTAATATTAATCTAATCTAGATTTAATAGAATTTCATCATTTGAATGTGTATTACTAAATATCATAAAACATGATTTATCACTGTTTAATGATAGTTTGTTCCCATCAAACTATAATTTAATTTTTTTCATCTCTGTTTGTATCACTTCTATCATCTGCTCAACATTCTCTCCTGAATAATAAAAAGTTGTGTCATCTGCAAATAAGGTGCATTTTAATATATTGGATACCTCAACAATGTCATTTATATAAATGATAAATAGTTTAGGGCCCAATACCGACCCTTGTGGTACACCACAAGTAATTTTATTTATATGTGATTTTGTGTTGTTTATTTGAACATACTGCTGCCTATCAGTTAGATAACTTATCCATTTTAGGGCCATCCCTGTGATGCCATATTTACTAAGTTTTTTTAATAAGAATTTTATGATTCACTGTATCGAATGCTTTTTTTAAATCAATAAACATACTTATGAGATGAGTTTTTTTTGTCAATGGCTTCCGATATTTCTTTTGTTAATTCCATTAGTGCCATGGATGTTGAATGATTTGTTCTAAAACCATACTGACTGTCATTTAATATCTCTTCTTTGATCGGGAGTCGGTCCAACCTAGCAAATCATCAGGTATGAGTGTTTGTGATTAGGTTACAAAGCTATTTTGACCTGGAGGTAGATGCTTTTGTATCAACATAAGTAAGTGATTTTTAATATTGACAATGTTATGAAATGTCTAAAAAGTGCAACTGGGTGACAGTAATGCTGGGAGAGGCCCAGGGCCCCCTGCAATGATAATCCGGCCCTGACTGTAGCGTATCAAATAATTCTGTAATAAAATAACAGTAATAAAGAAATGTGGAACCCTGTAGATCCTCTACCAGAGGGCAAAAGTTACACACCGTCACTCTCCTAGCTCTGGCTGTCTTTTCCATAATCCCTCCCCACCCCTAGCTTCCTAACATTTATAGTTGTTTCTCCATAATCACACTTGTATTGAAAATTGATAGTTCATTGTAATGCTGTTTTATTTTTTTGTTTGTTGTTTATTGTATGTTTGTTTGTGAAGCACTTTGTGACTTGTGTCTGAGAAAGATGCTACATAAATACACTTCTTTTATTGGTGCTGTATTAGTGTTTTATCTGCAGCTTGAGAACATTTGTAAATGGGTTAAAGATTGTGATTCTTATTTAAATTTCTCATTTTTTCCTGTTATTTTTTTGAGGGGCTGATGCATTTGTGTTGCTGTCATGTGAAACATGATTGTTCTTTTAGTTATAAAATGACTTCAGGAGCTCGTTTGGTCGTGTGGAGACGGTTGGATGAGCCGCTCACGTTCCCTTTAACCTTCATAAGAGACTTAAGGGAAACTCCAGGGTCACATTAGCTTCAGCTTTTAAAGGAAATAGCTCGCATCATCTGGCTGGGATGTGTACTACTTCCTGCTGGGGGTCGTCTAGAGAACACCATGAAGGTTTTTGGAGTTGCTGGTTTTGCTAAAAACAAAAGGCTGATCTTCTCTGTTTGAAAAATTTCCTTTCATTGGTTTATTTTTCAGCGATAGCTTCAATCGGATTGGAGGAGGCAACAACAATGGAAGGACGTGGTGCACTACTCCCTCGTGTCCCTGCCTTTAAAAATATCTAATGTAACCATTTTAATGCCACGACCTTACGACATTAAAGAGATTGGATATTTTAACGTTTGTGAAACACGTTTTTATGAACGTTTCAGTCACACATCTCTCTCCTCAGCACATTCAGACAGCCGTGCCTCCGTATGCATTCAAATCCAGATGCAAACTGAAGACAATAGAAGGAAATGGGAAGCTCCCGGTACAGATCAAGACCTCCACAAGTTCCCAGAGCACTTAAATGAAAAAGTTTCGCCAACTTTTCGAGTGTAAACCCAGAACTCGGTTTACTGGAACGGGTTTTATTCACCTGGGACCAAGAAAAGTGGATTTAAAGTGATGGCTGAAGGTAAGAGGAACACTCTTCCTTATTTATTTTGTAACCCATGTCAAACTGAACAGGATGATGTTAAACTCTGGTTCTGGAAATAAATAAATTAAAAAATAAACACTTTTGATATTAGTTAGAGGGGTTTATAATTTGAATTTTTGTTTTTTATGGTCAGAAATCCAGCTGAGAGAGAAGAAGCCGAGAACTCTCCCTCGCTCTGATGGGTGTGGTCTGTATAATTTTGATGGTAAGCTCTTAGATTTATCACATTTCTGAACAGTTATTAAACGAGGTTCTTTTTGCTTCGGACATGAAGGTGTTTCTAGTTACCTTTTACATGACCGAGGACATAATGCACATTGTAAAGGATTTTCTGAAGAGTTGTGTTTATATTAATATTGAAATGCTATCAATGTTTTGAACAGTTTTTTTTTCTAATTTTAAATAAGTCTGTTTTACCTTCTCATAGATCAGAAACAAATTCTTTTTTATCACTTTGTGCCTTTAAAAATGCTATACATTTTTATAATAACATTTTTTAATAACATTTTTTAATTAATTAAACCTAATTGTTTAATTGATACGTGAATATGTTTGTTGCTGACCTTTATGTGTGTTCTTTTATGGATGTTTCACATTGAGGAACATTGCATTCAATACAAATTTCTTTTACCATACCATACCATACCACATACCAGACCAGACCATAGTTTATTTATACAGCACATTTAAAACGCAGCATGGGAGCTGCCCAAAGTGCTTCACAGGCTGGACCAAAACACAACCAATCAAAGCAACAAAAACAGAAGATAAAATACCAATCAATAAAAGCAAATAGAAAAATGAGGAATACTAAAGAACACAATAAAACACTAAAACGAGTCACGGCCAAATCGTGAAAGTGGGTTTTTAAACGAGATTTACAAACCGCCAATGATGGAGCCCGTCGAACTATAATAGGTATGTAAAAGAAAGACAATTAAATTGTTTTTTATTTATGCCACTTGTATAAGATAATACCTCAAGTTTACCTGTATAATGCTATTCTGTTGTTGGTCCTAAATCATTAACTAGCAGTTAATTTTTTCACTTTTTTTTAAGTTTCTCATATTGTAAAAATATATGTAAACATAAAAACAGCAATTTAATAAACAATGACCAGTTTAAACTAAATTACTAGGAAATGGTTCAGATATGTTAAAAATAAAATTATTTAGTTTATATTAATTTTCAATGGATAACTTGGTGATTTGATTTGTATTTCTGAATCACTTGTTGTGCACTCCAGCATATATTAATTTTCAGAACTTTAATTTAGTTAATATATTACAACAGTGTTTATGAATATTGTATAAAGGGGTAGGGACATGTAAGTTTCCACTTCAGCCTACTCCTTTTCAAACAGAGAAGAAGGAAAAATGGGATGATGATGTGTATTTTTTCTGTTTGTGGTATTTTAAAAAAATATGTATGTTTTCTTTGTTTGTTTGAAATATTTAATAATAATGAAAATAATAAAGACACAATGAGTAATTTTTACCGTTAATCTGTAGAAACATCCATCCAAATGTTGTTAAAAATGAATAAAATGATGCCCAGTAGTTGAAAAATATTGGTGGCTTCGTAATACATAACCATAAAAATCAGATGGGAGCAGGTCTAAGTCTCTGGACCATGCTATATTAGATGCAATGTTTCTTTCTACGGCAGCCCGTGGGGACACATTGCATTTAAAGAAAACGGTTACAAAACTTTCACCATTCATAAATGTTCTTGTTTTACATATTCACATCTTCACTGCAAGTGATGAAAGGGAGACTTAAGTGATAGTCATTTTGCTGGAGGTTGTGCTCTCAGGGATTTTTTACCCTAATGGCGATCCGTTGGTAAGGTCTCACTCAAACATGAAAATACAGCTTGCTTGCAATGATTTAAGTATGTACTACCCCATATCATCAGGGTAAATACACACCGTCACTCTAAAGATCTAAAGCTACAACTTTCATAACTAAAAGTTTAAAGGGGACAAAAAATCTAAACCATAATTTTCTTGTTGTTTTGTGAATAAAGACAGCTTGGGCAGTCAAATGTAGCATGCCCAAAAGTCAAAGCTGTGTGTAACCTACTTTTTATGTAAATTAGAAAGTTTAAAAATGCCAGAGAAAAACTTCTTTTCTGAGAAACCTCTTATTAAAACATCACAATGTGGAGCCTTTCCTCCTTCAAGCTGTAGTCCCCAGTGTCTGAGGCCTTCTGGTTTAAACCAACCAATCAGCAAGCAGAGCATTAGCATATAGGGATCCCAAGCCACGCCCATCTACTTCTGCATCATGGGTGCCCAGAAGAACAAAAAGATGAATGCAAGTCAATGGGGCAAAAAACGTTATTTTCTAATTCAGCTTGTTTTGTGCCATGGATTTCACACATGATGTCCATGAATTTTAAAGACACATTTTGATACCAAGAACGTTCTTATTTTCGAACGGGGGGAACGATATTTTAGGTTTTGTGTGAAAATAAGTCCAGGACTACAAATGCGCTTTACGAAAGTGACGTCATCGAAACAGACACGGAGAAACCTGAGGGAAAATGGCTGTAAGTTCAGCAAACTTCCCACAGGAGGAAAGAACCGCCATAAATCTGGTAATTTGGTAAGTAGCAGCTATGCTAGGGGAGAGGAGATTATGTGGTGATGCCACATATGCAACGTGCCGATTTCTAGTTTGTAGTCATGCTAATTACGAACTTTTACAAGCTAAAAAATCTCAAAGTATGTGACTGGCGTGGTTGAAACACCCATCATTACTTTTCATTTAAATTGCAGTACAACATATGTGTGATCCAGGGTCTAAGGCAAAGCAGATGAGAAAACAACGTTTTTAGCCCCGTTGACGTGCATTCACTTTTTCGTTCTTCCGGGGACCCATGATGCGGAAGTAGACTTAGGCTTCCCATTCATGTTCTGGCCAAGTGGGAGGGCTAAACAGCTCTTTTCACAGCAAGGCTGATTTAGGGGTTTCGAATGGCCCGTGTCAGGGCTCCTGGGACAGATGAAGGCCAGAAGATTTCTTATGCTTCTTAGAGATTCAAAGCAGTGTTTTAGATTGCTGATAAACTGCATTCGTTGTCCCCTTAAAGTTATGTGAACATGACTCACTGATGTGTAATTGTAACAAAGTAGAAGTAAAATTATTTTATAATTTAAATGATATACATTTACTTTCTAAAATGAATGCAGAATAGAATAGTACCACAAACGTTTGTGTTTTCTAAGGAAATTACTCACAGTTCCTTAAAAATTGAAGAACTTCTAACTGTAAACCAACAAATGGGACAATTTCCATTTCGTTGGTAAATGATTTGTTTTTCTTTTGTTGTCTGCCTTAGCTCTGGATTTGTCTGGAGGGTTGAGGATCGTCCTGGTGGGAAAGACTGGGTCAGGGAAGAGTGCAACAGGAAACACCATCCTTGGGAAAGCAGCCTTCAAAGAAGACCCGAGCCCCGTGTCTGTAACCAAACACTGTGAGACACAGAGTGGGGAGGTGGATGGGGTTCCTGTCCAGGTGATTGATACTCCGGGGCTGTTTGATACAGGCATCACCGAAGAGGATCTGAAATCCAGAATAGAGGAGTGCGTCAAAATGTCCGTTCCTGGACCTCATGCCTTCCTTCTAGTGATCCGGCTTGGAGTCAGGTTCACTGAGGAGGAGAGGAACGCCGTTAAGTGGATCCAGGAGAACTTTGGAGACGACGCCTCCATGTACACTATCATGCTGTTCACGTGTAAAGATCAAGGCAAAGCTGACAATGCTCTGAAAGAGTGTAAGGAGCTGAGGAGACTCTCAATCACGTTCGGACGCAGGTACCACGCCTTTAACAACAACGACGCAGAAGACCGCGTGCAGGTCACAGAGCTGGTTAGCATGATCAAGGAAATGATTCAGGACAACGGAGGGAAGCACTACACCAACGAGATGTACGAGAAGGCCCAGAGAAAGCTGAGGGAGGAGGAGGAGCGAAAAAAACAAGAGGAGGAAGAGAAGAAAGAAGAAGAGAGAAAAATGTGGGATGCAGAGAGGGAGAAGCAGCAGAAAGAGAGAGAAAAGGAGAAAAAAGTTAGAAGAAAGAATATCCGGGTGGCGTCGGCTGCTGCTGTAGTGCTGGTGTTGGCGGGGGTGGTTATAGCTGTGGGGGCCAACACCACGGTGGCTCTGGCTTTGGGAGCTCCTGCTCTGTTTCTTGGAGTCTTATGTGGCCTGGCTGCCATTGTCATATGGAAAGGGATTAAATGTAAATCTAAGCACAACGGTATAGTTTAACAGAAGTGGGTGCAGTGGCATGTGCACCAGTTTGGAATTACCTTTAAAAGTGGTCTAAATCCATAAAGATGCACACTGCTGATGATATGCAAATAGTTTTCTACCATTTGTGACTATTGTTTGGTGTGAATACATATTTATAATCATCAAGGATTTTCTCCACAGTAACAAAATGAAGCATACGTGATAAATGAAGTACTTAAAAAAAATTCTTTGGTCACTCTGATGTTGGATATGCCTGCAATTATTTTTCTTCAACCCCCATCGCCTTTGTTAGCTGCATTAAAAAATTGACAGGAAACCAAACAAGTCAGATAACAACAGCCTCTCCTACATCACAGGGAAAATCAGCAATCATGGCCTCGCCCACCTTAGCTTGGGATGGCAGAAGTTTGTGTTGATTTAGCGGCCAGGAAAGAGCAGAGGGTGTGTTGCTAACAGAAGCTAACCATTAGCAATAGCAAGATTACAAGATGGTGGAACACATTCTGGCTTTTGTCATTTGTTTAGATAACACATGAGCATTGTATTATTACCCTATAAAAGCGAATAAAGGCAGCGGAAGAGTTGTTTTGCTGTAGGCCAAACAGAGGCGATATGCATGCCCAGAAGCGCCTGAATCAGCATGAAGAAGAAGAGCACACGCCAACCTTGGAATCTGATACCCCACTGAATGCCCTTTAAATACACTTTAAATAGAAATTGAAAAGGCTTGGGATAAAAAAAATAAAAAGCATGACCACACGTACCATCCAGCCACAAAGAACTACCACACGTTGGCCACCCCATCTTAACAGATCTGGACACGCCACTAAGAACACAACAGGATTTGGAGTTATTTTTCCTGATGTTTGGACATGTCACCTCTGATTGGCTAACAACAACACAACTCCACTACTGAATCTGCAACATTGATACTTCATCAAATAACACAAGCCTGAAGGAGTTCTGCAGTGTGGTGGATTAGCTCATGCTAACGGTTAGCTTTTTCAATCAGAGACATTCTTTGATGTTTCCTGGATGCTAAACCAACAACAGCCTTCCTGATGTGAGGTGACAGTGTGATGTTGATCAGACTTTTCCAATCCGAGAGTTTCACCGTCAATTTTCTATCAGAAGGGAATGCAGGTGATCCACACCTTTAAACCAATAATTGGATCTTTGTTTTTTTGTGTCATTTGAATCAGTTTGATTCGAAAGTTACATTTTCTACTCACAACGTCAATGGCAAAAAATAAAAAATTACTTTGGATGTGACTCATAATCTAAGTTATGATTCAAACCCTTGTTTTTTTAATGAAACATGTTTAGTATTTTCTTGGTGGTTACTTGAAATTACTGTTAAAATAAATAATGTTAAAACTAATTCTACTTATAGTTTCCTTTACTGTTTCTTATCTAATGGTTTTCGTGTTCTAATTTAAACTATGACGAGTTGTTTCCTGTGCTGTATTGTTCACATCACAAACTCACAGGAAATGTGAAACAAAGCTGCACTGCAGTCACTTATTTGTGACTGAAGCAACCTCTACCATCTCAGTTTGGGTCAAAATCACCCAAAAGCATTCCAAATTTGTAATTCTGATTCTGTTTCTTTTCACCATTCAACAAAACTGGATAAAAACGTTGGATAAAATTCATACTTTCATTTAAGTATTTGCATTTTAATCAAAAATGATGTTTCTTCATTTGATTTTCATTGACAAACCGCAGAGTTTCAAACAACACATTAAACCTAAGGAAAACATTGTTCTATACATGTGATTTATGTTATCAAATAATTAACAAGAATGTAAGTAAAATAAGTAAATTTTATTTATATAGCACTTATCACAGACATATAATCACAAAGTGCTTAACATAGATCAAAACACAATAAAACAAAGTCATAAAATCATACTGATCTCAAAACAGAAATAGATGAACATCAGAAAAAGTCATACAATTTTTAAATTTCACAAACAGATGAAAGATTACAGTGTCCAGAGTGGCAATGCAACATGAGGATAAAGGAAAATCATTCCAAAGTCGGGGTGCAACAGTCCGGAAGGAGCGATCACCTCGATTTTATATCTGGTTTTTGGAACTTCTAGAAGGTTCTGTTGTGTGGACCTGAAGGCTCGGGTTGGAGCATAAGGCTTTAACAGTTCAGTAATATAGGGAGGAGCTTGACCATGTAGAGCATTGAAAGTTATAATCAGGAATCTAAAATGAACTCTAAAGTTAACGGGTAACCAGTGCAGAGACATTAGAATAGGAGTGATGTGAGCTCTTCTGTTTGCTCCAGTTAGGAGCCTCGCTGCAGAGTTCTGGACCAACTGAAGGTGGCCAAGTGTGGCATGGATAACCATTTTAAGTTCATGCTTTGACACCAACCTTCGCAGTTTGGAGATGATTCTCAAGTGATGAAAACAGTATCGGACCAATGTTTTTGTGTGACCTTCAAGAGACATTGATTGGTCAAAAATAACGCCCAAATTTCTTAAGTTTGTCATGACGGCAGAGGATAAATGACCAAGTTTTAGACTAATCAGGGCAACCATGCTCTCATTGGCAATGATCAGACATTCAGTCTTTTCAGAGTTTAACTGGAGTAAGTTATCTTCTAGCCAGCTGGTGATAGCTGATAGACACTCTAGTAATTCAGACAGTTTATAGAACTCAGAATCCTTACAGGAGCAGTACAGCTGAATGTCATCTGCATATAGGTGATAAGAAACATTATGAAAAGAATCAATTATCTGTCCAAGAGGGTGTAAGTACAGCAGAAACAAGAGTGGACCCAAAACAGAGCCTTGGGGTACCCCACAAAACAGATCGGTAGAATCTGACATTATTTGGAAAGGTACGATCTAAACCAGTCTAGAACAGTTCCAGAGATCCCCACCGAGTCACGAAGTCTGTTAATTAAGGTGCCGTGAGCAACAGTGTCAAAAGCTGCACAGAACGTACAGCCTTAAAGGCACCAATACTGTCGACGTGTGTAACCATCTCAAATAAAACTGAAAGAGAAGGTTAAAGGGATAACTTCATAATGATCATTTTAGCTGGTTTAGGTGTCGTTTTTTGTTTTCGGAGTCGTCCACCATCTGATGCCTTTAGCCAGCACTGCACCACCGAGCATCACGATAGGTCGTACAGACAGAGCTACAACCTCCTCTAACGTGACTGCAGCACCTACAGCAGGAGCAGCCATACTTGCTGTACCCACTGCCGCACCTAGCAGTAGATTTTCTGCCGAGTTCAGTTTGTTCCCAACTCCACGCCACCACAACTCCCTCTGGGCTGCTTCATAAATGCTGCTGATGTAATGGCCCCCGTTTGATTGCACCGCTGCATCTATTTTGTCAAACAGATCAGCCACCTGAGTGCGATTCCTCCTGCACGTGTTGTCAAACACAACATACCCAGCTTTACAGTCACTGGTGAGTTTCTTCAGATCCCCGCTTCTGTTCAAATAGTCTTCAATGTTTTCCTTGAGTTCGTCTTCTCTGGTGAAAACGACGATGGTGTACTTGGAGGCATCCTCACCAAAGTTGTCTGTGATCCACTTAACAGCATCTTTCTCCTCTTTAGTGAATCTCACAGCCAGACTGATGACCAGCAGGAAGACGTGTGGTCCAGGAAGAGACAACATTATGCAGTTCTCTATTTCACGTTTCAGCTCGTCATCCTCAGTGGCAGTGTCAAAAACTCCAGGAGTGTCGATGATGCTCACGGTTCTTTCATCAAAGTGTCCAGTTTCTTTTGCACAAATTTTAGTTTCAGAGGTGGGAGACATGGATGCAGTAAAAGCTGTCTTTCCCAGGATGGTATTCCCTGTTGCACTCTTACCCGATCCAGTTTTCCCCAGCAGCACAATCCTCAGATCCTTCACTGTAGGAGAGCAGAGATCTGTTGGAAGAGGCGCATTTAATGAAACAGAAATCCAGCTGAAATCCAATGAAAGGTAACAAACACCGACCTTTAGCTGAAGCGTTGTTCATTATTTTACACAGCAGAGAGAAAAACAGATCAAAACTGTTTCTGGCTCTAACGTCCTTCTGCCTAGACTCCACACGTCTGTATCACAAAGTTTCCCCTCCCACTGCCCCTCCTCTTTAGCAAATCTCACGTTTCCTTTAAATCCACGTGTCACCACAGCAGCTTCACTGGAAACAAAACTTAGAGCAGCTCGAAGGGTTCAAGGTTTATTTAGTGGCTCTTTATGGGTTTTGTGACTGAAATGAGTTATCAAAATATGTTTTAAAACATTTCTCAATGATGTTATTTATATTTTAAATAAAAACAACAACCCTTTAAAGAGACTCATGCAGGGTGGGGAGAAAAAAAGCTTTTCTTTCCCTACAAATTAAAACAATTAAAAAGATCAGAGAAAGAAAAAGTAAGTTCACCAAAATATTCATCATGGTTGTTTAATTCATTCAGTGGAACTTTTGTGGCTCAGTGTTTCTAGTCTTTCTGCTTTCTTTATAAAGGCAGAAAGACTCGTTTGTGTACCAGAAAGAATGATGGGATGTTTGAAATTGTCCATACTAGAATGAATCGCTTAGGCCTATTCAGCGCAGATGTATTGCATTTCTGTTAGATTTCATTGAGATTGCCACACAAATATATTTTTTAAGGATGCATTCAGACACCAGTGACATGGAATTATCCTTTGGTTTAAGGTGAGCTGTTGCTGCCTGTTTTAACGGCCCATTTAAAAACTTTTTTGTAAAGATAAAACCTGAAAAACATGATTTGAGTTCAAAACCAATTTGTGAGTTGTTAGAAGAAGAAGAAAGTATCATTTCTATAGCGCCTCTCAAGATGAAAATCACGAGGCGCTTCACAAAAACAAAAAATGTAAAAATATTTAAAAAAAAGCATTTAGAAAATGTTTAAAATATATTTAAAATGAGCAAAAATAGACAATTGTGATTAAAAAATGTTAAGAAAGAGAGAGAGTGAATAGGAAAGAGGGAAATCAGTGGATCCTGAGGAAGGTGGAATAGGTGGGGAGAGCAGAATAAAGAGAGAGTGGTGAAGAAGGTCATACAAAAGCCAGCTTGAACAAGTGAGTCTTCAGCTGCTTTTTAAAGGAGACCATTGAGTCCACTGATCTCAGGCTCAGGGGGAGAGAGTTCCAGAGTCTGAGTGCCACAGCAGCAAATGATCCGTCACCTTTGGTCTTTAGCCTGGTGCATTGCACAACCAGTAGGCTTTGATCACTGGACCTCAGGGACCTGCTGGGGGTGTAGGGACTAAGAAGATCACCAATGTAAGATGGTGTTTGTCCATGTAAGGCCCTATAGACCAGAACCAGGATCTTGAAATGAACCCTGAAGTTGACTGGCAGCCATTGAAGCTGGAGGAGAAGCGGGGTGATGTGGGTGTGTTTGGAGGACTTGGTCAGAAGCCGAGCACAGGCGTTCTGAACCACCTGTAGACGGTTCAGGGAGGTTCTGCTCAGACACGTGAAAAGAGAGTTACAGAGTCTAAGAGTGAGGAGATGAAGGTGTGGAGAACAGTCTCAAGTTCAGAGCGAGACAGAATGGGACTCAGCTTAGCAATGTTCCTGAGATGGAAGAAGGAAGAGCCAACAAGAGAACTGACATGAGAATCCAGGGTGAGAGCTGGGTCAAAGGTCACACCAAGATTCCTGACATAAGGTTTGGTGTGAGAAGCAAGTTGACCAAGAGAGTCTCTGACTTTAGGAACCAGCTTGTCTGGGGCACAGATGAGGATCTCAGACTTATCGTCATTCAGCTGTAGAAAGCTCCCACCATCCAGGTTTTGATAGAGTCTAAGCAGGTGTGTAACAGCTGCAGCTTAGACATCTCATGGGGCTTAAAGGAGATGTACAGTTGGATGTCATCTGCATAAAGATGGTAGGAGATTCCTTTGAAGGAGCTCAGGATGTGCTGAAGAGGAAGCAGATAGAGGAGGAAGAGCAGAGGCCCCAGCACAGAACCTTGTGGGACACCATGGGTAAGGGAGGTGGTGGAGGACCTAAACTTGGAGACAGGAGTTACGGTGCAGAAAAGGAAGGCTGAGAACCAAAAACCATAGAAAAGCTGAAGATGCATCATCCTTAAAAATGGATCTTTGTAAGTAAATAAGTATGTTTTATTTATATAGCACTTACAGATATAGAATCACAAAGTGCTTAACATAGATCAAAACAAAATCAAACAAAGTCATAAAATCATAATGATCTCAAAACAGAAACATATGAATATCAGAAAAAATGAAGTCATGCAATTTTTAAATTTCATAAACAGATGAAAGGTTACAAAATTGAGTTAAAAATAAGAAAATTAAAGATTTAGGTAAAAGCAGCTTTAAATAAAAGGGTCTTTCGCTGTTTTTTAAAAGTGTCCAGACTGTCAATGCTACATAAGGATAAAGGAAGATCATTCCAAAGTCGGGGTGCAACAGTCTGGAAGGAGTCATTCCAGACTGTAATCCTGACCAGGGTTAGCAGCAGGAATCACCAAGTGTGTTCACAGGAAAGATCTTTTTTCCTGTGAGGCTTTTTATAGCAAATAACTTTATTCTTGTTTTATTCAAAAAGAAACACCAGTAGAATGTGATACACCAACATTTTTATTGAACACTGTAAACAGACTTCATTTGTGGGAAAATAAAGGTTTCCTCAAATCAAGCATTGCACCTATATGCACCATCATAGTTAAGCTAGAATTACAGCATCCTCATTATCGCTATACCTGCAGCAGCTGCACCTGCTGCAACTGCAGGTGCAGCTGCTGCAACCATCTGCCCAGCCCGACTCCACCAACACCTTCTCTGGGCCTCTTCATAAATGCTGCTGGTGTAATGGCCTCCGTTCAATTCCACAGTTTTGTCAATTTTATCAAACAGATCAGCCACCTGAGGGTGATTTCTCATGCATTTGTTGTCAAACACAACATAACCGGCTTTACAGTCACTGGTGAGCTTCATCAGATCAGCATTTTTGTGCAAATAGCTCTCAATGTTTCCCCTGAGCTCATCTCCTCTGGTGAAAACAACAATGGTGAACTTGGAGGCTTCTTCACCAAAGTTGTCTGTGATCCACTTAACAGCATCTTTCTCTTCTTTGGTGAACCTCACAGCCAGACTGATGACCAGCAGGAAGACGTGCGGTCCAGGAAGAGACAACATGATGCAGTTCTCTATTTCACGTTTCAGCTCATTCTCTGTAATGGACGTGTCGAAGACTCCAGGAGTATCGATGACGCTCACAGATCTTCTGTTGACTTGTCCGGTTTCTTTTGTGCTGTCTTTAGTTACAGAGGTTGGAGATGATTCTGAAGCAAAAGCTGCCCTTCCCAGGATGGTATTCCCTGTTGCGCTCTTACCTGATCCAGTTTTCCCCAGCAGCACAATCCTCAGATCCTTTACTGCCAGAGAGCTGGAAACTGCAGACAAAAACACATTTTTGTTTCTTTCATATCTTGGACTTTTAGTTAATCGAGCTAAACTCTACAGCAACATCAAAGGTAAAAGTACTAACCTTCAGCTGGGGTTCGGTCCATCGTGTTATCCAGAGGAGAGAAACAAGATCAGGAAACAGATTTAAACCACAGGAGTTTGACTGGATCTGACTTCAACTTCTTTCTGCTCAACCTCGATGCCTCTCTAGCTATGATTTTACCAAAGATGACACTCCCATCGCCCCTCCTCTCCTCCACCCCTCAAATAAAACGTTCTTCAGATTACCATTGCAGTTTCAGCGAAAATGAAACTAAACTGAAAGCATTGATGGGAATTACGGCTCTTTTTAGAGAGCCGGTTCTTTTGGCTCAGCTCACCAAAAAGAGCCGGCTCTTTCGGCTCCCAAGTGGCTCCTCAGATTTTCTGTTGCGTAGAGTACATTTATAACCAAAATAATGCTAAACTATATGTAAAATAATTTACTAATGTAAAAAAAGCAATATATCAAATATTTATCATTTCTATGGATTTAATAACTGAACACTTTTTAGAAATCTCCACTTTCCGACTGCTGGCGCTCATTTTCTCACCGTCTTCGTCGCACTCTCCTCTCTCTCGCTCGCCTTTTTCCTCCTCCTCATTCCCTCTCGTCTCCCTCCACTGCATGTGCTCTGCTGTGTGTCTGTCTGAGTATGATCCTCCCTCTTCTCCGCCCCTACTGCTCTGTGTGTGGACAGTCTGGACACCAGTGTTGGGAGTAACGTGGTACAAAAGTAATTAACTACTGTAATGCATTGCTTTTTGCTGTAATGTTGTAATGTAAGGCATTACAGGGAAAGAAAATGGTAATATTTACTCGGTACAATTGTAAGCAACGCGGTAATTACAACGCATTTTTAAACCCAGAATCAAGATGTGGGTTTCCTAAAATTTCAAATTGCGGAAAGCCTGAAAAAAGATCCAGTATCTACATATATTACGTCATTTATGGACTCAGCTTTGCGGGAATTCTATGAGCAGAGAGGACGCAGCGGTAATGGCTCAAATAATCCAGCTGCGTCCTGCACGCGACCGCTGTTATATTCACAAAATCGCTCCACCAAAACAAAGTTATTCGTTTGCGATCATTTATATCAGCCCATATTCTCTGGTATTCACGTAATTTTCAGTTGAGTTCATAATCTGTGCCCCGGCGATTTCAACTCATTGCTTCTGGAGCGCAGCGCGAAGCTTTTTTATTTATTTATTTATTTTGTTTGAGTTCCGTAGATCCCTTTGGCTGATTAGTTAGAAAGTAGGAAATCTAGGAAACCATTTTTCTGGAAGACGGAGAAAACATGCAGCATGCAGGAAGGTTAGAGAGAGAAGGGGCAGGAAATTATTCAAATAAAATCAAGAAAACAAAACAAAGTGCTTGAAAAGAAAAAAGTAGGTAGATTTATCCCCAATACACATTTTTACCAGTGAAAAGCAATAATATATAAGCATTTAATATTTATACATGTGATAGAATCAGATCACCCCAGAAGTTAGTCCCACATCCAGGGCCGTATCAAGGCATTTGGGGACCAAGGCAAATATAGGCTTGGAGCCCCCACCACCTCACCCCTGCTCAGATGGCCCTATAAGATGGCAGCATGCTGAGAGTACAGATTGTTGTTGCTTTTATTTAATAAACAATCATTTTAAAGCCCTGTTATTATATCTGACTGTTTTTAACAGCAATCCTAGCTCAGACACCACATCACCTTCCACATATATGTCATGAGTTCACTGAGCGTCAGACTACCAGATTCATACTGAAGTTGTTTTGGTGAAAGTTACTTCAATTAATGCAAAAGTAGTGTAATGCCTTACAATTTAAAATCAGTAATATTGTAATGTAATGAATTACTTTAAAATGAGGGTAACAAGTAATAAATAATGCATTACAGTTTTGAAGTAACTTGCCCAACACTGCTGGACACACAGTTACACAGTGTTGGGCAAGTTACTTCAAAACTGTAATGCATTATTTATTACTTGTTACCTTCATTTTAAAGTAATTCATTACATTACAATATTACTGATTTTAAAATGTAAGGCATTACACTAATTTTGCATTACTCTAAGTTACTTTCATCAAAACAACTTCAGTATGAGTTTGGTAATCTGATGCCTGGTGAACTCATGACACATCCGGTGGAAGGTGATGTGGAGTCTGAGCTAGGATTGCTGTTAAAAACAGTTCTTTAAAATGATTGTTTATTAAATAAAAGCAACAACAATCTGTACTCTCAGCATGCTGCCATCTTAGATTAACTGAGCAGCGAGTGAGGTGGTGGGGGCTCCAAGCCTATTTGCCTTGGTCCCCAAATGCCTTGATACGGCCCTGGATGTGGGACTGACTTCTGGGTTGATCTGATTCTATCACATGTATAAATATTAAATGCTTATATATTATTGCTTTTCACTGGTAAAAATGTGTATTGGGGATAAATCTACCTACTTTTTTCTTTACAAGCACTTTGTTTTGTTTTCTTGATTTTATTTGAATAATTTCCTGCCCTTTCTCTCTCTAACCTCCCTACATGCTGCATGTTTTCTCCGTCTTCCAGAAAACCCGTTTCCTAGATTTCCTACTTTCTAACTAATCAGCCAACGGGATCTTCACATATGCGGCGCTCCAGCAGCAATGAGTTGAAATCACCGGAGCCCAGATTAACTCAGCTGAGGCAAAGCACGTCAGAAAAGTACAGAATACCGGAGAATATGCGCTGAACGATCGCAAGCGAATTATTTTGTTTTAGTGGAGGGATTTTGTGAATGTTACAGCGGCCGCGTGCAGAATGCAGCTGGAGTATTTGAGCCGTTACCGCTGCGTCCTCTCTGCCCGCAAAGCTGCGTCCATAAATGACGTAATATATGTAGATACTGGAACTTTTTTCGGGTTTCCCGCAATTTGAATTTTTAAGAAACGCAGCTTGATTCTGGGTTTAAAAATGCATTGTAATTACCGCGTTACTGACAATTGTACCGAGTAAATATTACCATTTTCTTTTCCTGTAATGCCTTACATTACCACATTACAGCAAAAAGCAATGCATTACAGTAATTAATTACTTTTGTACCGCGTTACTCCCAACACTGCAGTTACAAATGTTGACCAATCGCCTGTGGCTTTCACCAAGGCAGGGGGAGGGGAGGGGGGGAGGGGAGGGGACGGCTCCCAATGACGAGCCGGCTCCCGTCGTTCACATCAAAGAGCCGGCTCTTAGAGCCGGTTCGTTCGCGACCGACACATCACTAGAAAGCAGCTGGTAACAGGATTCAGGTCATGTTTTTCTACAATAATGTGGCGTTTACTTTAATCTTTGGTACAAATTCAATTGGATTTGAATCATAAATAATTTGCTAAGCGCACATATCCCTAAAAAAATGTTTGTTTGTTTTACTTTGATGAATAATAAAGTTTAATCAACTCATTCAGGAAGGGAAGGCAGGAGGGAATCCTGCAAGTCTTCCACTTGTTAGTGGAGCTAAACAGCTTCCAGTTAGTCATCCATATGTTGTCTTTTGTCCTAATCTGTCCACAGGTCCATACCAACTCCATGAGAGAAGAATCTGTTAGCAGCCAAGTGTGTCCCTAACAAAGTGTCCCAGTGTCCTCATGAAGCGGCGTTGTGTGTATAACTAACTGTGTCGAGCATTTATTATGCAGGATCACTCTGATGCCTCCTACTCCACACTGTATGAGACGTAGTGAGACAAGCTGTCCAGTCACAACAGAAGAGACACCAGTCCTCACATCATGTGGCGGCGCTGCATCTAAAAACGGGCTGATTGAGACATCCACGGACATCTGAGGGAAAGGTGAGTTCTCGGAGTCAAACTGAAATATGTTTCTACCAAGTACATTTTCTGAAGATGATTTCGTTCTTACAGTAGATGAAGAAAAGGTTCTGAAGAGAAGAAGGGAGCTTGTCTAGCATCGGAAGACTCTGGATAGCTCACTGGCTTACCAAGAATCTACCGTGTAAAAACTATACGGACGAGAAGAAACTTGGAGCCATGGCATCAACAGGTCTCCAGCTGATGGGCTTGGTCCTGGCTCTGCTGGGTTGGGCGTGTGGCGTTCTGGTGTGTGCGGCTCCTCTGTGGCGCGTGTCTGCCTTCGTAGGTGGAGAGCTGGTGATTGCCCAGATGTTGTGGGAGGGACTGTGGATGAACTGTCTGTCTCAAACCACAGGTCACATCCAATGTAAGGCCTACGACTCCACCTTGGCTCTGCCCACTTCGGCCCAAGCGGCTCGAAGCCTCGTCGTCATGTCCCTTCTCCTCTGTGTCCTGGCCCTCATTCTAGGGGTGCTGGGGGCCAAGTGCACTCACTGCATGGGCGACAGTAACCAGGCCTCCAAGGCTCGGTTGTCACGGATAGCAGGAGTGCTCTTCGTTGTGGCCGGCCTTGCCTACTTGATGCCCATCTGCTGGACTGCCTACGCCATAATCAGAGACTTCTACGATCCGAGCATCGCAGCGCCGTTGAAGAGGGAACTGGGGCCGGCGCTGTACCTGGGCTGGGGAGCCAGCGTGCTGCTGCTAGTGGGAGGAGCTCTGATGCATGTCGGCTCTTCTGCACCAGGAGGAAGGGCGCTGCCCGTTTTAAGACCAGCATCAACAAAGGCCAGCTCAGTTCCAGAGGCAGCAGCAGAGGTCAAGAAGCAGGAAAAATCTTTTGTATGACACCATTTTATTGGATTCACACGCTGTCAGAGAAACGCGGAAACTGTAGTTATTGAAACATTTTGTGGTTTTGTGCAAAATTAGTGATTTTTGGAGTTTGGTTTGGATTTTCTCTTCATGCTTACACGTTTTTTTTAAATGGTACTAAAGCTTAAATGTTCTTCTCTTGGAAAGTAGTGGATGTAAAATGATTGTGACTATAAATGGACGTGCTACTAGCACTGACTTTACTTGTGACTCAGTAGGAGTTGAGATGAACTGTAGGAGGAATTCAGATGATTTGATCTTCACTAATGAAGTGATTTACATTTCTCACATGCCTCTCTGCCTCTGCATGTGTGTGTGAGTGCATGTGGTGATGTGTGTGTGTGCATCAGTGTGTGTGTGGGCGGTCTGTGTACAGAAGTCCAGTGTGTATTGTGAAACTGTGTGTGCGTAGGCGTTTGGACTACTGGCTGTTTACTTACTTTTTACACATTTTTGTGATGTTTGCCGTTATTACAATTAAAACAATATCTTAATTTTACCGTTACACACGGTCTTATGTTTGCATCTCTGTAAGCGTAATTACTGCAGCTCTGGTTTAACAAATACAACATTTTTATGTTGTTTTCTTTGATTTTTTTTATCAATAAAATAATTAATTGGTTATTTTCTTGTTGGACTTTTTTACATTCTGAAATACCAAATGCCACAGAGTTGAAAATGTGCAGTACACTGTCAGTTTGACATTAAACAAAATCAACGTAGCACACCTGAAATCAACCATTAAAGATAAAATGTAACTGTTTTATCTTTTTTGCAGGGATCTAACTAGATTCCACATACATATATATGTATATATACACATATATATGTACATATATATGTGTATATATACATATATATGTACATATTATGTGTATATATGCAGCTATTCTCACAAAGCCTCTGACTTTGCAGATTCAAAAGATGTTTGTTTTACTTAGAAAAATGGCATTTACTTATTTAAAGGTTTGTTTAAGCTGCTTTCAGTTGATTCATCATTATTCCTGAAGGTTCACCCGGTGGTTCCCAGTTTATCCCACAAAATAAGAGCTATGGAGATGAAGGGCCCCAGCAGTTGCAACAGGACTATTAACTCAGCTAATAAAACATTTAACAAAGAAATTTGTAAATAATTTTTAGATTTTTTATTTTTAATGAAAAATGTTCTTGTCTTGTTGTTACAGTTAACTCTAAATAAGTAGTTTAGATTTTTTGCAGATTTTCTTTATAAGAGTAAAAAGCTTAATTGTAAGAGTGTTGTTCTTATTATCAGAGCAGTGGTGTGAACGCGTTTTTGTTCTTTCGTTACGGAAACTAATCTAAGATAATTTCCTTGAATTTTCTTATTTCATATGAAG